CATTCAGGGACATCAGCTCTGTTGTGATGGCTTATCATGGTTACTGCAGTTAGATTTCATGTTGTTTTTCCCACTGTTTTCTGTTAGGAAATTTTGATTGAATTGAATCGGGGGATGATTTGTCTGGTGTCATGGCAACCATGGATTTATTTTCGTCAGCAAAACAAAGAGTCTACTGCCAACATGTACTTTTATCGGCATTGTGAATGGAAAAATGAGGCAGTTAAGAAAATTTAATCCACTTGTCGCTTTATGGCCACAATTAAGGTTAATGTGATTTTGACAGTTTTATATAACGGCAAGTGAGCGTAACGTCATTGCGTCTTCTCTGTGATGCAAAAGTGTTTTGCGGATCCTCACTTCTAGAAATATGATAAATGAAAAGGTCGTGACGCTTTAACTTAAACAGATTAATTATGAATGAAACCTTGTTAAAAGAGAGATTTCTCTTGCCACCCTCCCACGACATTTGAGAATGGAACGGCCCTTACGTAGCCATTGGAGGAATGAAATTGTCTGAACTGTGGCCTCCCAGCCAGATGCGTGTGCAATTTCTGAGAAAATGATTGGATGAAATTGGCAGGTCCCCACGGCCAGAGTAGCCATTTTCACAGCAGGGTATCATAAGGTATATCTTCGCTGATCCCTTGGTCTGAACAATGTGTAATAAAACTGTGGTCCCTGGCTATGTACTGTCTCCGCGAGTAACCCGCCTGCCAGTTCGTCAAGAGAGAATTAAAGCCTACCGAGAAGAAAACAGGTGAGTAGTTTTACCTAATATTTTCTGGATCGCTGACGAAAATAACATGAGTAAAATGTTAGGTAATCTTTCAAACTTTACGAACAAGATGTAGGTGACTATTGATGTACCAGAGATGGGGATACATCAAGGCTATATAGTGTAAAACATTGAACATGCTCCCCTATAGAACAACTGCCGCTCGTAACGCAGTGTGCGGACCCGATTGGAAGTGGCTGTTTAGGCCTGATACTGGCCTAACCGGCCGGCTTGCACACATAATGCCGCCGCCTGAACCGCCTGCGCCTCTCCTAGTGGCGGGAAAGATGAGGTCTTGTTGGCAGGTAATGGATGTTGACCCCGACTTTACCAGGGGAGCGGGGACAGCGAAGATGGAGGTCGTCAGGCCGCAGGCTCATCCAATTTATGTGCGCTCTTACAGAAGCCCCCTGATTTATTGCTCCATTACTTATGAATACATCCGAGATTGTGAGGCCGTACAAGCGAGCCGCGGCCGGCCGGCTGTACGGGCCCGGCTAGCGGCTCGCCGGCCTCATGATAAGCCTGTGTTAGCACAGTTAACGCCAGACGTTATGTCTACTCGAATTCTGCAGGTGTCGTTGTGGTGGGCGATTCAAAAATAAGAATTGAAGATCAATTCCACCGTAACGATTTGACAGCTACGTTGTCAAAATGACCATAATCTAGTGCAGGAAGATTATGACCGTCAGAGCTGCACAATTTACAACTATAATTGATACGCTTTGAAATTTTTAAATTCTGTACTTTGTATTATGAAAGGATTTTGAAGTGAGAACCTGTGTTTTTTTTCATAATCCACCTGGGGAACCTCACCGCACGTTATGCGAACATTTTATCCCAGCCTCTCTACAGTTTTACAATACTCGTGTTGCCTAATTTGACGGGTCATTGCATTTCTGAGGCTTCTGAATAAGACCAGCCATCCATTTTAAACCGCACGTTTAACGGCCGCGCCAGCCTTCCGTATCAAAATGCAAAACCACAGCACCTCCACCGAGAGAAGAAATATCGCTTTCAAATTTTCTCAGCAGAAAGCGGCATTTTATAGGAAATACTCTTGTGTTGTTAATGGCAGGGATATGGGGATTGTGCTCGCTGATAAACGCTTATCTAGTTAATGTCGGTAATCCAGTAATATTCATCTCCCTTGTCGGAGTGATAGATCTGTTCCGGACGTTGTGCATAAGGCGGAACCGAAAAGCCAATATTTCCTCAGCGCGCGCGCCGGGTGGATGTGGAGAGAGGGACTGTATCATTTGTGAGGCGGGCTCGGCTTGGAGAGACAGCGGGGAGAAAAGTGCCCGCAACGCCGACAACGTAGACTAGAAGCCCGGTACCCATCTCTACCGCTACTGGAGGTAAGTAGGAGTGGATACCGGGCTAGAGAACGTCATGTTTTCATCAGAAAAGCGCGTGCTCATTTGTGAATATGGAAACTCAAAACGCTGAAAATGATACAGTGTAGAGTTTGGCAGGAAAAACACCTGACCTGACAAATGTCGTCTGAGGGCAAATTTCTGGATATAAGATACTTTGTTATATGTTGGTAAGGTTTACTACTTATTTGTGAGAATCGGGTAGAAGAATGTACTTTTTTGGAACAAATATCGTTGACGACTAGTACTAGTTTTGCCGGAAAATATAGTTAGCTACAGCTGTTGTTTTTTTTTTCTTTGAATTTGGAGGAACTTTTTTATTTGAAAATACAAGCAAATTTGCAGGAAGGAAGGAAAGACACTTGTGATGAGTCGACGCTTTGAACGACTACACGCGACAACTGAGTTGTTGTTCTGTACCGTATATACAGTAGGTAACCGGTACCGCCTTGTTCATCGAACGGCTTGTGTCCAAGCATATTCTGTTAATGAATGAAAGTTCATCTGTGTTGGTAGTAAACATAGTAAAATGTTGAACTTTATTCCAACACAACGAGTACAGTACGAGATTGTTGAAAATTCCATCTGCCTGTACTCGTTGTGTTGGAATAACGTTCAACATTTGACTAGGACCCTACTGTATTCGATACTTCCTCTTTGATGTGTCTTGTTTATCGTTCTTCGTGACATTTATGTTATGAGCTTTCAGTGGCTTCTGCCATGGTTTTGCTTTTACATGTAGAGGTCATTCCGCTTGGCTACTGGTGGTTAAGTATATCATCCACCCTTTGTCCCGCTTTGATAGAAACTACCATCTTCCGCTCACTTCTCAATTGAGAAGAGAGTCATTTGAAAAGTTCAGGTCATGGCTAATTTCCACATCAAGTTGTGCCTTTAGATGTGAGACGTTGCCGCCAAAGTCCCCAGATGAGTTGGGCCTGTGGTTCAAAGGTCTGACTCTTAAGTGGTGTCAAGTTGTCTCCTCTGTCAACAAACATACCTGGGCTCATTTCGTGTTTCCCAACAGTTAAACATGAGACGATGATTGAAGTGTTCAAGTGTGAACCTTCTCGGAGCGACACACTAAGATATGTGTGAGCTTTTCATTAAAGGCGTAATTTTTGTGCTTAAGCTTCAAAGACAACCAATCAATTAACCTACAAGCCAACCAAACACTCAATTAATCGGTATCACAGTTAACAGCGATTTTCTGTGCCAAGGGCGGAGACAAATACATGAATCGATTGATGGATGGATAATCAGTTCCCGGCCTATACCATAGACAGCGAACCCCTGCCTGTTGATAAAACGGTCGGTCCCTGACTCATGATGGCTTGGTACCAGATGAGACAATCGGCAGCCCTTGTCAGCCTGCCACGCCGACATGCAGCACCCCTATCACTGGAGCGGAATGTATAAACATCGACTTTCTCTCCCGGGGTTGGTGTTGGGGAGGAATGCAGCTAGTCCTGCTGATGTACGTGGTTCCTCCAGCCGGCCTGACACACACTCCGCTCCGTGCGAGCCAGGGGAAGGTACGCACGGAATGCGCCGTATCCTTGCACTTGTCCTTGGCTGCGGTGTTAGAGGCCAGGGCAAAAACCTCGTCTTTGAAACTCCAGTTGGTCAAGGTTAACACCACAGCGTACACTTCACGTGTGCGGACGGGAGATGAATAGATCACGTTATTGCTCTTGTCAGCTCGGATACAGTTTATATACGATGTGTCGAGCCGTGGAGAGTTGGGAAGAATGCATGTCTTTGCTAAAGCGCGTTTCACAGCCGCTGTTACTTGGGTGGCCCGGGAAATGTTCACAAAAAGATCAATTTGTGGCAATAGCTTCGGCAACAACTCCGTAAATTTGCTTTTGTTGCCAATAGATCTTATGTATACTGCTGATAAGTTAGCGTAAGTGTATTATTGAGAGATATTTTCTTGTTGAACAATGCAAAGCTACTACGTATACTGACTCGTTGTATCCGTTGCCAAAAAGATTTTATTTCTTTCAACTGTTAAAAGATGTGACGGTCTTTGAAAATTAGCAATAGAGAAACAATCTACAATCAAGCTTATGTCGTTTTGTGTACACAAATGTATCCGTGAGGATTGATGAGTGTACTTGTTTCTGCGCTCCGCCTGTGGTTTTTACAGTGTTGTACATTTCCTACGACAGCTGCTCCCACTCGGCCCTGCAGTCGTTTCGACTGGACCGCCCCTTCCCCTCGATTAGAGAACATAATTGTCTATCCTACGCCTTCATCTTTGCGAGAGAGAAAAAAGGATGTGTTTTATGTCGCGATGAGGCGTAGGTCATTCAATCACAGTCATCTGCAAGTCGGGCTGGCGCGGAGCACAGAGATCAGTCGTCTGGTGAGGCAGGGTTTTATCACTTCGGAAGGGCTTTTAGTTTATTTCACATCTCACAAAACGCGAGGTTACATGATATAATTGGCCATCACTTGCATCATATTATTCCTCCATCAAGTTCATTTGTAGTTCAGCTGTCCTGATACCGGCGATGAGACGGGGCACTGGGCGGCAGGCAAAGTGGTTGATTGATCGGACCTGTCGTTTGGCGTTTGACTAATCCCCGCCACATGCAAGCCCGGCAGCAGCCCTGCATTTATTATTGCCACACCAGCGCTAGCCCTCGCTCCCGGCGACTGACAGATAGAATCGCTGCTCATTTCATCTGTTTGCCAGCGATCGCGCAGAGCGCAGACTTGTAACCGGGTCCTAATGGCGCGATTCTCTCTTGTACCCCGCAGGAAGCTTGCTGAGGGCCTGCCGAGGGAAACACAGCCAGGCCGTCATGACGCCGCGGATTTCCGTGTGAGGGAAGATGGCAGCAGTACTCGGGACCCAGGAACACGGCTTGTACGATAGCGGAGACGAGTGGGAAGTCGGGGTCGGCGACCTCATCATCGATTTGGACGCAGATTTAGAGAAGGACCGGCGTAGAGCAGAGGAAGAGAAAATTATGGTCGCTCCTTCACTGCAGAAGGAGTCAAAGACTGGAGCTGCCGGAAAGGACCTGAAAATGAAAGTCAAACGCAGCAAAGGGGTGAATGGAGCGAAGACTTCCTATAGTATTTCAGATCTGAACGTGGGGAAGAAAGATGGCGACTCCCAGTACGATTTTGACGGGGAGAGCAGCCCCGGTGCTGTACCTACGGCGGCGGGGAAGGCTGGCAAGGCCGCGTCTGGTCAGGACAAACCGGGCAAGGCGCGGGGAGGCAGCGCCGGGAAGGGAGGACGGAATAACGAAAAGGCCAATAAAGATGGCGGGAATCCATCAAAAGAGGCTTTGAGCCAGCATGACGAGTCGACTGGGACGAACATCAATAGTCAAAGTTCCCATGGTAACGAGGATGGGCAAAAATGCACCAGTTCAGGCAAAAACGCCAAACGGGAGGAGAAAGCAGCGACCAAAGGTAAAAGTTCTCCTAAAAAGGACAAGGACAAATCCAAGGACTCCAGCCACGGCGGCAAGACCTCCAAGGGAAGCAAGAAAGCCAGCAAGGCAGAAAAAGCCGATAAGGTAACGTCTACTACCTCTTAGTCTTACGCACGCTTTAGCGGCCGTAAATATGCCAGAATTGGGCTTGATGGGAGAGGGCTGTTCACTTGTGTGGAGAGGTTTTCCTGGGGGATGAGCCGTGTCAGCACCTAGTGCCAACGGTCTGCCCCTGTAGCCCTGTGTCCCCGATTAGACTGATCACCACCTGAGCAATTAATGAGTGTGCAATAAGGGACGGATCATATTTAGTTTAGAGGGGGGATCTGTGCATGTTAGAAGCTGCCTGCTAGTCTCTGCTGTTAAAATGCATGCCGTTTTTACAAAGAAGGTGGATGTATTAGAACCTGTGATACTGTTTTGTAACTGTGTTATGCTTCGTGTAACGTTTCTTCTGTCCCAACCCGCGCTGTTGTACGAGCTAGACGGGGATTTTATGTTTGCCAGCTCACGAATACGGTGCCCAGAGGACGGCCGCAAAGCTTCCTGCGAGGTCAGATTAGTGTGACCCCGCTGACATATTTCCAAGATGTTCACCCATCCGGCGTTCCACATAACCCTCGCCTAGCTCGCGCCGCGCAGAAACAATCCTTCCCGCTTCTACATATCCTCTGTGTTATGATAAATTTGACATAAAACAAAATTGCTGAGTTGAAAAGAATCTCTAGCGATTTGGAGTAGATCAGAGAAAATAGTCGCCGGCGTTGAATCCCGGCACAGAGGGATTTGCAATGTTTTACAATATTAACATAACTCTCGTGGGTTCCGCACACGGGTCGCGTGTTCCACATTCACACAACCGTGACCGTGGAAGGAACGGCTTTCCAGAGAATATCAGCAGAGATTCGCTGCAAATGTCAAAGATATTATGGCCAACTGATAGCTCCTATTTACCACCGCCATTCATCAAAACTGGATGAAGTCGCCTACAAGATCCTGCGGACACATCATTTTAAGAGATCAGCTTCCTGCCTTAATTCCGCCATGTACTGCCGCCTAAGATAAGAGATATCAGCAAGATACAGGAAGGTACCGGCGGAAGATGGCTATATGATGAATACAGCGTAGCAATTTCATAGCAACGGCTCCCAATTAAGGTTGGCTTTCGGTTTTAAAAAAGGGTGGTTATTGTAAGTAAGCGTGTAAAGCCAGTGGGACAGGCTCAATTAGCGGGCGGGTTGTCTGGCGTGATAGCGGGTAATCCCCGGGGAGAGACGGCGGGTCCCGCCGCGGTGGCGCGGGGGAACACTCCGGTAATTGGGGGGTAGTGGCTGTCAGAGGAGCCCGGCCAGTCACAACACATTACGGTTTTCTACCCCCTACATCTGCTTGAATGTTGAAGCTGAGACGACAGGCGGTATTTAGCGCTGCTCCCGTGTCACCCTCCACACCAGCTTGTTAGAGAACATCCTGGCGGGACCGTCCGTTTGTCATGAGGCGGGGGGTCGTGGTTTGAAGGTACAGATCATGGACAGTAACGTGTACTAGTTGTTAAACACATTTGTCGCACTTTGGGGACGGTTTTGAGTAAACTGTAGCTTTCCCAACAAACAGCGACACCGCTTCCTAACAGTTACGAGTCCATCAAAAAGTTCTTGCATAGCGAAAGTTTGGACAAAGTTTATTTGTATGGAACGTTTATAACATCATACAAAATTGTATTTGAGTCATGTTCACCGGCTGCTTGGACAGATACCATAGGACAAAAAGTTCCTGCATAGCAAAACTTTGGACGAAAAGTATATTTGTATCATACATGGTTGAGTCATCTACACCCACGGCATGGACAGACACCACTAGGACGGAACTGACGTGACGCAATGACAGAGATCACGAATCCGCCCCCAACGCAGATCGCCCACTCATCACGAGTTTTCAGTCTATATTACGCTATTGATCCTCCAACCGGGGATTGCCTATGTGGAACTCCAGTGTAACTCTATGCCCGGTTTAACAATGACTTATCTGGCAAATCATTCACCCTAGGTCTAGGCCTAGTCCCTATTCAGCCAATTTCTAGTTGTCCCAGCAACCCGACAGGGACTAGGTAAAAGGACAGATTACGTCACGTTGGTTCCACAGACCGACATCTGACAGGAAGCGGGACTGTGTGCCAAGGTCGGCCCGTATATCTCACCATTACTGTCAACATGCGGAAGAATGGAAATTCAATTTTCTCAACAAACACCAGGGCGTAGATAGAGGGGACAATGTGGTGATGATCATTGAGCGCGCAAGGGATACTTTTTGTGTGTTTAAAAATCCATCCGTGTTTCCTCTCTACTTGTCTTTTATTTTATTTTATTTTAACCAGAAAATTGTATTTGTTCATGGGCATTGAGTCGAAAACCACCAACACAATCCCTTCTGTTCGTACTTGGTACAGAGGAAACACATTCTTCGAACCTTACACCACTTCCCAATAGTCATGACCTTGAGGTTAGGAGACTCCAGGCAAAATAGAACAGACACAGACTCGAGAACACTGACTTCGCAGAGCAGACATGTAGCGCTTGGCACAAGTTTCAGTGGGCGGCGGATGGGGAGCGCGGATGCGTCCTGTCACGGCGCACGTTTTAGTCATTTTTCCACACACCACACTCAGCGGTGACAGGACAGGAGGCAGACGGTGGTTAGAAGGTACTAGGAGACACAGAGGTCTGATTTTTAAGCAGATGTTGTGTATTGTTGGACGGGAAGGTTTATGATTTCTGATACACTTCCTAAAATCTACTTGACGATTGGCCTGGGACTTGTTTGGAAAGGTTTGAAGGATGATGAGATGTCTGTGGAACTGTGGCAAGTGTTTGGAGTGCATAAACAGTATCTATATTGATTTAAGAACTAAACGTACTACGCACAGATTTTGATAAGTCTTCAGCCAAGTTGGCCATGTTTTATCAATGACTTTCCTCTAGACACCAGTTTACATGACCTCCTAGATTCTATCATTAGTTATCCAACCTTCGTGATGCCAGCTATTCTAGCTTGGAAGACCGAAACAACAGTAGTGGTATCAGAGATGCACCAACAGGACCACCTGAATACACTTGCAAATTGCACCTAACACCTTTCCATGAAAGGCGGTAGGATGTGGATGGCATGCATATGAATGCGATGGCTTCTATATCAGTTTTCCTTTGGGTTAAGACTTGCACGTAACCTTCTTTCCTCGTGGTTGTGGGCTAAGGAAGTCGCCACTCTCCCGGGACCAGAGGCAACTGAGTAGCCGGATTTGTTCCCGAGCACCTGGGTATCCAGATAAACAGGCGCGCGGCTTCCTCCCGTTTGGAGCGGTCGTCAATCACCGGGTCAGATCCGTACATTTGGTGTCGCCTTTCCACGGCTGGAGCGGTCGGCCAAACAATTCCAGGAAGAAGGGATCCAGCCTGCTTCAGATCGATAGTCAGCTCGGCTGAGTGCGGAGATTAGGAATTGGCGGTTCAACGGAAGGAGTCCTGTGAAACTTGCTAGTGTGGTATTTGGGACAGGAACTTTCTTGAAGTTTTGTTGGGATAACACCATGCATACCCCCCCCCCCCGAGAAAATACGTTGTGACAGGTGTAAATTGAAGTTTTTCGCTCTCCTGCTGTTGGAACGGCAAATGTATTGCCCCTTGCGTGCGCCGCACCGCGGGAAAGAGTAGCAGTTGTTGAGTGGGAGCCAGATAGGGGTGAGGGGAAACCGGGTCAAGGTGGGGGCGTCGCAGTGATTGGATAATTTGCAACTGACAGGCAGGGGGCAAGCTCCAAGTCACTCAAAGTATCAAGCGCCTGTCGTAGGGGGGAGGGGGGCAATGCCAATTGGCAAGTCCAACAGAAAATTATCGTAGATGATCATAAGTCCCATTAAGTATGACACGCGAAGGTTGGAGTGTCTGTTATGTATACTCGTGTGTAAAATCCTATGTCAGCAACCTTGGTTTACATTCCTTTCTGTTTCCCCCATCTTTCTCTCTCCACACACACTCACTCACATATCAGTTGGGACGTAATCGGGTGAGCGGAAAGCTGCGGTGATTTATAGGGTACTAAAGTGTACTCATTTGGCGGAGACGTTCTTGTAAATCGATATCGATTAGAATAATTCACGGGTTCCCGCGGCGTGTGTGAGAGGGGGAGAGAAATATGACAGGAGGCGGGTGGAACGGAGCCGTGTTGTGACGATTAAGAATGTGATAAGAACAGCTCATATTTCACAGGCGCGGGACAGCCGAGCTGGAGGTAAGAACGGAACATCGGAAATCACCGGCAATGGCTGGAATCGGTCCTCTTCAGACAGCATTCGATAAAGTTAACACCGTATCCCGGAACAGTACCCATACAATACTGATGTTAAAGGGAAATTCGCTTTTGTTTGGAAACCTTTGAGAATGTTTGATCTGGTCCCTAGGTTGTCATTCGTGGGAATAACCGGTATAAATGCAACACAGGCTACACTTCTGTTGAGTTATGATTTCCAAAATAATTGATTTTTGATTCCATATTGAATTACAAATAATTCATGGGCTCTTTTTTTGCCATAACCCGACAGCTTACTTCAATTACAGCAGTATTACCGTTTTTACCACGGATACATTAAAAAAAATGCCGATATTGAGTGGTAACACTTGTATAACTAATCAAAAACTGTGAGTGAATTCGTGAAGCGTGATTGATTCGATTTTCCTACTGAGCGATTTCGTCCTTGTGGATGTCAGATAATCACATGCATGAGATTCCGAGTTTGGCGGTTGTTTTTTTTGTACGTCCGTCTACACATTTTCTCTTAGATATTTGTAGAAACCAACAACAATGTGGTGATGTTGCCTTGAACTTGTATACTTGGAAATGACCTTGTAGTTAGCGATAGTGCCACAGATCAGCCGACCGTACCCCGCCGCGGGTTTCCCGGGGAGACACACGGCCCGTCTCCGTCGGCTGTCACGCCCTCGTTACCCCCGCCACGGCTGAAGCGGTAATTAGGTTCGACCTCGGCGGTCGGACAAGCCGTGAACTGATCTGTCGACCGTACCTCGGCGTGA